TATAAACTTATTAATGTAACACTTTTAGATAACGAGATTTATTATTTGGTCCCATAAAAATAAATCTAATAATATAGTCTATTAAGACACTACAATATTTTTAGCGTACTCTAATCATGATTTTGTTGTAATTTTTTATTAGAATTTGGTGTAAATATTAAATGTTACAATTTTGGCCACACAAACAAAAGAGAGGAAAAACAATCATAAATTATAAACTTAGAACTATGAGGTCGTTGGGGCTTCTTCACATTAATTTCGACGAGTTGTGTTTGAAACAGATCGGGAATGGTCTTAGTACGACCTTTTGGACCGATACTTGGAGGGGATCCTGCCCAATTTTTCTCTCGTTTTCCTAGACTTTTCACTTTAGAAAAGAGAGGCAAGCAACCTTAGCTGATAGTACTAAGACGAAAAACTCTTGGTCTTGGCGAAGACCCATCTGAGATGGTAGAGAGTCCGAGGATCTCAATCAATTTAGGGAGGCTATTGGGGATTGTTCACTTTCCGAGAATCCCGACAAATGGTCTTGGTCTCTAAATGCCAATGGGTTATTTTCTTTGAGTTCCTTGAGATTTATCATTGAGAAAGCATTCTTGGGGGTTGGCGAAAAAGAGACGTATGGAACTCTATGACTCCTCCTAGAGTCAACATCTTTATGTGGCGAATTATGCTTGATAGAATCCCAGCCTCCGATAACTTATTGAAGATGAAGGTAGATATTGGTTCAACGTAATGTCCGGTATGTGGATCAGATACCGAAACCTCTAAACCTTTGATATTCGACTGCAAAGTGTCTTTGGAGGTCTGGCTGTTTTTGGAGCGATGGTGGTCTTTCTTCTTTCTTGCTTACAAGACGTTGTAGGACATGATCGACGGTATCAGATCTACATATTGTGGTGCTTCAGAAATAGAAGTATTTTCAATTGTCTTCTCCCTTGTAAATATTCCATAATGGATCAAATTGTGGAAAAATCTTATAGTCGGGTTTTGGCTAGGTGCAAGGAGAGTGTAAGAAACCCGTTACTATGGACTGTTTCATATCGTTGTAATATTGTGTTTAAAGAAAAGAAACTTAGAATTGTGACGTCTATGATTAGGATTTGATGTTACACATTCTTTGATTGAATCAGAATTTTCAAAGAGATATGAAATTTTAAATAATAAAATTATTACAATACACATAGTAATGTATTAAAAAATGCAAATGCTTTTTCTTTAAAGAAGACATGTACTGTAAATCTATACCTTTTTAAAAACATGCACACGAAATCATAAGTATGTTGGCACCTTTCATTTCAATTCGTTGAACACATTGGGTGTACGTAGTTTGTATTTTAAGTGGGTTGGTATATAATCTACTTTCTGACCATTATTTCATTTCATCATCACGTCACAAAAGCAACCAAAACTATTTATTAATTTCAAGAAATAATTAAAAAAACCTTTTCTTAAGAACAAAAAAACGGAGAAAGTTGTCTCGACAACTCACCATTTGGAAACGTAACAAATTATATTCAAATGTTTTGTTAGCGCATAATTCGTTTTTATCAAAGAACGGTAACCAGTAACCTCGTATTTCAGAAGGTCAGAAACTCAAATTTAATCATAGATACGAAGTGTGTTTAATATGTTGTACATATAAATATTATTATGTATTTAAATGAATTTTTTTATAATTTATA